GATTTTATGTTTCCTTCCAGGTCATTGATAAAAATGTTAAATAGCCTAGGGCAAAGAACTACCCCACTAGAAATACACCTGCTCGATAATGTATAATTACCTGCTGAGACCTATCAGTAAGCCAGTTTTTAGTCCATTTAATGTGTGCCATGTTCATTTTATATTGTCAGGATTCTTTTTGTTCCTAATATATTTTAAAAACTCCTTCCTATTGTCCTTTGCTTTGTTGGCCATAGATTTCTCCTTGTGTCCCTTATTAATCTTCTACAGTTCATAACTTCTGATTTATATTAATTACTATCAATTTCCTTTTTCTTCCATGGTTATATATTATTTTTTTATTTTTTATAGCTGCCTTCAGTTCCCCTCTAAATCAGGTTGGTTTTTTAACCAGCACAGCTTTCTTCCTCAGTTGTGGGATTGTGGCTTTTTGTGTGTCTAGAAGGTGTTCTTAAACAATTTCCAATTATCATTCATATTTTTCTGCTTAAATTCTTCCTACTAGCTGATTTGGCTCATAATTGTTATTGGCTTTGTGAAACTGGAGCTGTTAAACTGGTCTGAAGTTTATTCTGCTTGCACATTACAAATGTGATCAAGTCATGATCACTTGTACTTAAGCTACCATTAATTTTTTTTAACTATTTATTTAAGAAGTTTTAACAAGTTTACAAATCCTTGCCATGTAAATATCAGAAACAAAAAAGGCATTACAACAATTAGCTTTTGTTTAAAGAGATGTTATACAGGAATATAGTCATCTGAACTTTCTATTTAACAGGATGTACAGTGTAAGCACCATTTCAACACCTATGTTGTTTCTAGTGAGTTTGTCAAAAATGAGTGAAATAGAGTCATAGACTTTAAAGTCAGAAGGGACCATTATGATCATCTAGTCTGACCTCCTGCACAACGCAGGCCACAGAATCTCACCCACCCACTCCTGTAATAAACCCCTAACCTACGTCTGAGCTGTTGAAGTCCTCAAATCATGGTTTAAGACTTCAAGGTGCAGAGAATCCTCCAGCAAGTGACCCGTACCCCATGCTGCAGAGGAAGCGAAAACCCCCCAGGGCCTCTGCCAATCTGCCCTGGAGGAAAATTCCTTCCTAACCCCAAATATGGCGATCAGTTAAACCCTGAGCATGTGGGCAAGACTCACCAACCAGCACCCAGGAAAGAATTCTCTGTAGTAACTCAGATCCCACCCCATCTAACATCCCATCACAGGCCATTGGGCATATTTACCGCTAATAGTCAAAGATCAATTAATAGCCAAAATTAGGCTATCTCATCATACCATCCCCTCCATAAACTTATCAAGCTTAGTCTTGAAGCCAGATATGTCTTTTGCCCCCACTGCTCCCCTTATGTATGTTTATCAGATCAGACATGTCTGTCAAATGTTAATATTCAAAAAAATTGGACAGTTATACTGGTTCTTTTGCAGGCAACCATTAATTTTTAGTTCTGTGATCTCTCTTTATCTGTTAGGACAAGGTCTAATAGAGAATTCCCCCATGTTGGTTACAAGACTTTTTGAGTTAGGAAATTGTCATTTCTAATGTTTGAAATTCCAAGAATGTTTTAGTGCTGGGGCAGCATGAGACCTCCAGCATGTGTCACTCAGATTGAAGTCCCCCATGATCACGTAGCTTTTCCGCTACACATTACAGATAGGTGTGTAAGGAAGCACCTAGTGTGATTTGGTGGTCTGTAGCACACACCAATTAATACCCTGGTCTGTGCTTTATCTGTTAGGACATTGCTCCATAAGCATTCCAGATCATTTTCTTCCGAGTTATCAGTGACATGGAAACAGGTCATGGCATTTTTGACAGAGTGCCACTCGCCCTCCCCTTTTGCCTTTTTGATCCTTCCTACATAGGTTACAACCATTGATTTCAACATTCCAATCGTGCAAATCATCCCACCAGATGTCAGAGATACAGCATGCTCCCGATGATCTGAATGACCTGGGGGACGTGGATTTTATTCGGATAATCGAGAGGGCAGGAGCCATTGAGCCATTCAGCAGTAGGGTGGCCTCCCCTTGGCCAGGGCCGCCCCCTCCTCCTCCTCCTCCTCTCAGCCCTGGCTGGGGGTCTCTGCTCGGCCTGCTCTCTCTCTCTCATGAAAGCAGGGGTGGAGAGGGCTTCCTGCACTGCCACAAGAGCCATTCAGTTCAGGGTGGCCTCCTCTCAGTGGGGGACCATCCTCCTCCTCACAGCCCAGACTCTGCTGTATTATCTGAGCTTCTGCATCATCCAAATCCCTTCCTTGTCCCCCAGCATGAGATCCACACCCTCTGCAGCATCTGTCTCCAGCTGGGGGACAAGGAAGGGACTCGGATAGTGTGGAGGTTCAGTTAACAGGGTTCCAGATAAACAGGCGTGTATAGTACCAACTAGTGCAAATGTAGGCTCCTAAATGTTTGTAACCCAGTCTCCTAGCACTGGTGTGTAGGCAATTCAGTAATTCCTTCTCTTCACGTCCTTTGATTCCTTGATTAATTTTGTTCTCAACATCTCAATTTTGTGCTGTTTATATCTTCCCTCCCCTTTTGCTATCAGTTTAACACCCTCCTGTCTACTCTAGCCAGCCTGTCCCTGAGGAGGTTGGTTCCCCCTTCTACTGAGGTGGGGACCATCCAAACTATACGTCCCCCTCTCCACATAGAGGGTAGACCAATGTTCCACAAAACCCTCTACCCTACACCGTTTACTCATCCAGCGCTTCACTTCCAGAATCTCCTGCCTTCTGTCTTCCTTGGCATAGACTCATAGACTTTAAGGTCAGATGGGACCATCATGACCATCTAGTCTGATCTCCTGCACATTGCAGGTCACAGAACCTCACCCACCCACTTGTGGCTTGTGGGACTGGAAGGATCTCTGAGAAGATCATTTGGACACTCTTCTTCTTCAACATGCTTCCAAGTTCCCTGAAGTCATCTACTATCTGTAAAATAGCCCACGACACAGGGTCATTAGTGCTGATATGAACCATTGCCAATATGAGCCATCACCCACTAACTTCAGAAGCCTAGCCAATTGAAGAATGACGTCTCATGTCTTGGCCAACCTGTGGTCTGCCTCTCCCTTGCAGAATCTTCTTTTGATTCTTCTGAGTATTGAATCTCCAACAAGAATTGTTTGTCTTCCTTGGATGATTGGAGACCTCTTTGTGGGCAAGCTTGCTTTTTTTACAGGTTGGGCTAAGCTGCCACCCCCAGGTGTGTCTCGTACATCTCTCCCTCCCCTTGCCCCTGCAGAATCTTGACAGGCACCTTCCAAAGTTTCCAGATGGAGGCCCTGGTGTTGATTGGAAACTTCTAGCTGTGTGGAATTCCGCTTGGTCCTTCTCTCTGGTGGCCACAGCCTGCCTACCTCCTATGTCTCCATCTGTGCAGAATGCTGCCGTGACCTCTTGTCTCTGGTGGTTATGAACTGCTGGGCCTTCTCTCTGTCTTCCTCTCTCCCCAATTCCTTTGTGGCCAGCTCCATTCTTCTTTGAACCTGAGCTACTGGTGTTTCCCAAACCTGGCAGTCTAGGAACATCTCAGCTTCTCTGCTTCTCAGCAGCATCTCTGTTCGCCTCTCCAATCCAATGATCTTTTCCTCCAGCACAGCCACCAACTTGCATTCCATGCACAGGAAAGAAAGCATGACAGGCACATCCGTTCCATCGCTGACCATCTTGATATCACATGTGATGCTGAACCTGGAAGGAAAACCTCTCCCACTCGCTCTCTCTAAACTCCTCCAAACTCCTGTTAGCTGCTTCTGTTTGCAGCTCTGTGATGCCAGGGCAACTCTTTTCATTAATATTATTATTCAGTTGAGGTCTGGCTACAGTACTGCACCATCCTTTAGACTTCCCCCTACGCAGACCATCATCCACAGCCAACACAGAGCATGGAGACTTGGGCAGAGGGTCCTGCCTGCCCACTGCTACCTTCATTGGCTGTAGACACCTCCTGGGTCTAAGGGAGAGATTCTCAATGGTACCCATGGAGCTGGCTGCCTGACTCCCGCTGAAAGTCAGAGGCAGGTGGGATCCATTTTTGAAAATCTCCCCCTAAGACTTTTGTTTGAACTTTTCAGGCCCTGAATGGACTAGGTCTGCTGAACTTTCTCTGAGTCCTTGCCCCCTCGGAGGTCCCCGGGGAGACACTATCTGTATCTTTGCCTGACTCCGAGAGAGACCCTGGAGAAGCCAGTTTAAAGCAGGTTCTCACCCCGTCTGTTTCCAAGGCCCTGGGGCATGGCTCAGTGAGTCGCTCCCTGCTTTGTGCTGAGCTGGACCCTGGTTGCTATAATCTCCTCTGTTTTTGTCCCTTAATCTGTATTTGTTCCCCGGGAAGTGTTGGGGGATACATTAGTACAGAGGCGCTAGGTAAATACCATGTATTTTTCTCCCACACGCAGGCAGAGCAGCCACCGAGCCAAGGTAAACAAAGCCGACTGAGCTCTCTAGCAGCAGAGTGAGGACCTGCTGCTTGTGAGTCCTGTCTCTGGCTTCCCAGCTAGGGGGGTTGGGAACAGGAGGAAGCTGGCGCAGCTTCTCCTTTAAATTCAGGTAGCTTGTTATGGAAATAAAATCTAGTGTGACCCAGAGGTGCCACCTTTTCCATGGATCCAGCAGACAAGGAGTTAACTCTCTGCCCGACTCCTGTGCCCACCCCTAGCCCCACCCAAGGGCATGGCTGGGGTAAAGAAGCTAGGCTGAGGGCTGAGGCAGGGGCGGGATTACACCCTATAGATAGGACTCACGGGGAGACAGCAGGGGAACTGCAAGCTTAGCAGGGAGTCTTAGAGGAGACCGAGCAAGCAAGCAAGGGACAGGGTGTGGGAGGGAAAGGGTGTGGAAGCAACATGCTGACCAGGGGGCGTGGTGCACACTCATTATGCTAATGGGCATGTGTGGGGTTGCTGTGATGTGGGCGCTCTAGGTACCCAGACAGACAGAGAGGTTTACTGGCAGGCGGCTACTTGCTACCAACACCGGGCACAATGGCTGAAACGCAGGTGGGGCTGCACGGACCATTCCCGGACCCACAGGTCAGGTCAGGTCCAGACTCGGACTCTGATTCAGACTCAGAGGGCCTGGGTACGGGCAGTGCTGGGCCAGGCTCAGGCTCCCTGCCCCACTCGCAGGTCATCCACAGCGGCCACTTCATGGTCTCCTCGCCGCACAGCGACTCGGTGCCCCGCCGGCGCCACCATGGTACTGAGCCGGAGCCAGCTGATCCCCACACCATCGACCTGACCCTCACTCGGCTCTTCGAGTGCATGAGCCTGGCCTACAGGTGAGTCTGAGGATCCTTTTGCCCGGGACCGCTGGCTTCCCTCTCCCCTGGGATCAGTGATCCCCTTCCCCGGGATAAGCCTCCTGGCCCAGAACTTGTGGGCTGCGGAGGACGGGGGACAGACTGAGGAGTCTGCTTAGGAATTTCCCCAACCAAACAACCGACCAACCTTCTCCCTCTTAACCAAGAAAGGAAGCAGCAAAGGCCCGCGGGACCCCATTTGGCTGACCAGATGTCCCGTCACCCTGCAGCCCTTTACAGGGCACACACTGGTGCTAAGGAGCTGCAAAGCAGCTGCACAAACCCTTGGGGAATGCTCCTGGGGCAGTAGGGTCACCCTGCCCAGTGCAGAGCTGGCTCTGCTAGCTCTGGACCCTCCCCTCCCCCAAGCACTCCCTGGCTCAGGCACATTCTGGGTGAGTGAGGAGCGTTCCAGGGGCAGAAAGGGATATGTCTGTGGCAACTATATCCTGGCTGCCACTAGTTCCATAGGGACCCTTGGAAAGCCAGGTACAGGGTAGGGCAGATTTCAGGGCTGCCCTCAGCTGTGCCTGGGGCAGGAGGCTGAACAGAGCCCTGGCGGCTCTGGGATGGAGCAGTGCAAGCTTCCGTATATTTAATACTATTACAAATGCTGGAGGCAAAGCAGGGTTTGAGGTGGAGGCTGACAGCTCATGACCCCCAGTAATAACCCCCCCATTCCCCACCCCGAGGGGTTCCGACCCCCAGTTTGAGACCCCCTGGGTTAATTTAATTTTAGCACCCTGTGTCCATTCACATGCATGTGCTATTTTGAGCATTTCAGTTTTCACAACATCCCAGATTCTGGAACAAGCTCAAATGCTCAGTTCGTGGAGTATGTACATAAGCTATACTAAAGACAAACCCACAGTAACCATCTCCAGTTTGTGAGGGACCCCATGGAGCCAGTCTCTAGGAAACAGATAAATTCATGGAGGTTAAGTCCATTAATGGCTATTAGCCAGGACAGGTAAGGAATGGTGTCCCTAGCCACTGTTTGTCAGAGGGTAGAGATGGACGGCAGAAGAGGAATCACTTGATCATTACCTGTTAGGTTCACTTCCTCTGGGGCACCTGGCATTGGCCACTGTCGGTAGACAGGATACTGGGCTAGATGGACCTTTGGTCTGACCCGGTACGGCCTTTCTTATGTTCTAACCTAAATGAACCCAAAGTTATGGAGACAGATATGAGTCAAGGAATCCAGCAGAGTATCAGAAACCTGGAAAAATCTCTGACTGGATGCGCTCAGGTGTTTGGTCACAAGCTGAGGTGGTTCAAAAGTTTTGGATTTTTTTTAAGCAGAATTTTTTTATTGTTTCTTTAAACAATCAAACAAAGCAAGCAGCAAATATTTGGTCACATGCTTCTGAAACCCCAAACCATGTTCAGGTTTTGGCAGACTAATTTCAGCTTTTCAATTAAAAAAACCACAACAAATTTTGAAGGAAAGCAGACACTGTCCGTGATTTTTTCTGCTTTTTAAAAACCCCTAGTTTTCGATCCAAAAAAAGTTTTGACGGAAAATATTTGTCCAACCCTTTTAATGAGTGATACCTTGTAAAGGTGACTTGAAAAGAAGTTTTCTCAAAACTGGGTTTGTGCCGAGATGCGGAAGGTTTTAAAATGTTTATTTTTCCCAGGGCAGCCTGGGGGGGGGCAAGTGGGGCAATTTGTCCTGGGCCCCACAGGGGCCCCCACGAGAATATAGTATTCTATAGTACTGCAACTTTTTTTTATGGAAGGGGCCCCTGAAATTGCTTTGCCCCAGGCCCCCTGAATCCTCTGGGCGGCCCTGCCTTTACGTCCCATCAGCACAGGTACATGTCTCACCTAGATACATGTTTAGCATCTTTTGCTAACGAGACTGCCAGAATTCAGCTCTGTGACTTCCAGGAATGGACTCGGTAAACAGCACAGCGCTAGGTCACGGTCGGCACTTTTCATCAAAACAAGTTTTTAAGAGAAGCCTGTTCTGTTCCCCGGGACGAGGGAAACAGACAAGCTGCAGTTTGGTAGACGCTTTCCAAGTTTGGGATGAAAAGCCAGAAATGAAGAAATTTTCTGGACAATTTTTTGTTAAAAATGTTTAATGTTCAGGTTCACTTTTTTAATACTTTTAAAAAATTTTTGAAATCCAACATTTTTCTTTTTCATTTTTATGTAAATAAAACAAAAGCAAAAATCTTTCATGAGCAGCTAAAAAGAAACCCACCATTTATTTTCAAAATTTCCCCCCCAAACCCACTGGCATTTTTAACCAGCTCTAAAATTTGGGGGTCACACACTTTGTAGCTTCTGTTGGCCAAGATGCCACTAGACATCAGGGGCTCCTTGTATCCCCCCCACAAATTTCTTGTGTGCCATCTCCCATCCCACTTTATTTTAGGGACTTTCTGCAATGCCCACAGGAGATCTGTGTGCCCCCATTTGCCATCCCAGGGTCCTCCTTTCCTCCCCATGCCTGGGGCTCTGTGTACCCCTCAATTTCCCCCTCTGCATACCATTGTCCCCCTTTCTCCCTCCATGCCTGGGGCTCTGAAAACCCCCTCATTTTGCCCCCTCACTCCATGCCAGGATTTCTGTGTCGCCCCCCCCATTCCCCTCCCCCGCACTATTGTCGCCCATACTCTTCCCCTACCCAGGGGCTCTGAGTATGCCCCCATGTGTCTCTCTTCCCCCTTCTATTCTTATTTCTGTCTGACAGCTCAGTCCATTTTACACTGTATTGGGAGGGAGGGCGGGTGGGCGGGCAAGGCCTAGACGGGGTGTTGTTATAGTGGAAGCTGGTAATCGCTGCCGTCACAGGTTCTTTGATCTATAGACAGTTACAGAGGTGGACGAAACTGATGGCCCTGCTAACCCACTGCCAGTTGTCACAGTTTCAGGGTTACTGCACCTGTATGCCCCCTCCATGGTCCCTCAAAGGCTCCCAGTTAAAGGTTTCCAGCTCCCAGCCATCACCTCTCTTGGGCAGAGACCCATGTCTCGCTCTGTCCTGATCAGGGGTTGCAAGGCTGCATAGCTCCCTGGATTTACTCTGTGATATCCCCAGCAAGCCAGGCTGCCTAAACAGGCCAGCTCCTGCTCTTTGCTTTCTCTCCTAGGGTGGTGACCTGGGTATTGCCTACAGCTGAAGTTACCACCCAACTCTTTCTAAGCAAGCCTGTGTAGTGTTAAGATAAAAGCATTACAGAGAAAACCTTTTAAAACAATAGAAGAACCTACACACATGCTAAAAAGCTCACCAGAGCTCACCCCAAATCCAGCCTGGGGCAGTCAATCCTTCAAAACCGCAACTGGGTTTTCCCCCTGGTTACAAGTTCATATCTTAGACCCAGAACCAAATCAACAACTGGGCAGAGCAGCCATTTCTTTAGGCAGCTTGGGCCTTTGCTATTTTTCTTCTGTAACAAGTAATCAGCAGACAAAGACCTACTCCTCAGAGCATAGCTTCAAAAGGCTGGGTTTTTGCATAACCTCTGCCATAGGATTCCCCAGGAAATCCACTTCACACTTTGTCCCAAAACTCCATTCTGGTCTGACACATTTTCACTATAACCTTTTGAACTCTCAGATCTTCTATTTGTCACCCTAGAGAGGTTACACACAACCCCAGCCCATAATAATATCTACGCTTCATACAATCAGATCCTGGAAATTGCCATGTCTGTCACATCTCCGCCTAAAGAAATGAGTGTTACGGAGTGTAGCATTATAGGGGGGCCTATTGACTTGTTTCCTGCACAGAGCATCAGCACCAAATTTGCTTTCCTTTTAACACGAGTCACGTCTATAGAGAATCTTGGAGTACCAGGCTCCATTTTAGCAGTTTGGCATCTGGCCCTTTCATTTCCTGTAGCCGGGTGCATGGGAAGTGGTCAGTGAAGTGGTAAGCAAGGACTGTCATTTGCTGAGCGCTCACAGCATGGCCAAACATTATTTTTCCACTGTCACCTCATTTTTCTCTCAGGGAAGCAATTTCTTGCTTAGTACCTAAGGGGTGTCTCTCCCCCTTTTCACCAGTTTGCATCAGCACTGCCACAAACCCTGTGTCAGAGGCATCTGCAAACACCACAAAAAGCTTGTCGAACTGTGGTCTTACCAGAACAGAGTCTGTGCTCAGGGCCTCCTTCATAGACTCATAGACCTTAAGGCCAGGAGGGAGCATCGTGATCATCTGGTCTGACCTCCTGCACATCGACCCCTAACCTCTGGCTGTGTTACTGAAGGCCTCAAATCATGGTTTAAAGACTTTAAGTTACAGAGAACCCACCTGTGATGGGTTGGATCACAGAAACCCCCTTGGGAGCTGCCACCTAATATGCAAAGACTATCTCTGCTCCTGTTTTCCCTGCCA